AATTAAAGAGTAAAATTATTAAAATAAGTAAACAAATGATAAACTTGTAATTAGATAAATTTTGGAAATGTCGTGAAACAAAATCCGCCACGTTATTTATCTGTTGTGAAGTGATGACGACTTGGTTAATTATTTATAGAATGTTGAGAACAATGAGTACAAACCTTACTGAAAATCTGCTATTCATGTCTTCTGAACAACCACCATACAGTTACTTAAACTGAGGTTATTAATATCGTTTTCGTGTTTGTACCTGCAACATACGCATATCATATAATTATCCATTATTTTAAACCACTGACCAGCCAATATCGCCTAATCTAAAGTCCAGCTTTCATCTCAATAACATAATCGACTGTCACTCTTATAACACACCAACATCTGGAGTGTATTCAGCGTGAACTTGGTACATGCAAAATATGAGGCCACACGCGGCCCAGAGGCTGTTAGTTTAAAGATAGGCTTTTAATATCAGTTTTAGGTTTTTAATACGTAGAAGTTTCAAGCTTTTCGTGTTTAATTCTCTGAAGTAAGCTATATCTAATGTTTTTTTTTAATAGATTATTGATTTAAATTATAATTTTTCTTTCTTTTTTTTTAGATGAGAAACATCGAAATATTTTTAGTCCTCCAAATTAATCAGAATTAATTTCATCGTCAAATTCACCTCAAAATTATTACACTGTATTTAAATCATTGAGAGAAAACTAACATTTCTCTACAGACAACAATATGTTCGTATACGAAAAATATGCAAACAAGTTATGTATCAATATGTAAGCTGTCTGTATTTACTCTGTCCCCTAGTGGCACAGCGGCATGTCTGCGGACTTACAACGTTAGAGCACAGATAGCCCATCTTGTAGCTTTGTGCTTAACTTCAAACAAACAAACAAAGCCATTCGTAATAACCAGAGCCAGATTAACGCAGGTGCTTCAGAGGATGTAGCCCCAGCCCTCGGATCTTGAGGGGTCTCAAAAAATATATATATAATTTCGAATACAATATATAAAATGAATAACTGGTGCCGTGACTGTATAGGCTAGAAAACACAGCTCTCTTAACAAGTTGTATTAATTTGGAGCAGCTTTACTATTGGCTATCACATTTAAAACCCGGGACTGAATGGTCAGGTCACTCGACTTGCACTCTGCGGGGTTCGAATCCCCGTCACCAAACATGCTCGCCTTTTCAGCTGTGGGGAAGTTATAGTGTGACGATCAATTCCACTATTCGTTGGTAAAAGAGCAACCCAAGAGTTGGTGATGGGTGATGTTGACTAGCTGCCTTCCCTCTAGTCTATCACTGCTAAATTAGGGACGGCCAACTCTTGGGCTACTCTTTTACCAACGAATAGTGGGATTGACCGTCACCTTATAATGCCCCTACGGATGAAAGGGCGAGCATTTTTGATGTGACGGGGATTCGAACCCGCAGATTGCGAGTCGAGCGCCCTAGCCACCTGGCCAGGTCAAATATTTTAAAGGAACTCCAACATCTCTTTACGTTTTTCAAATATTTCATTGCCATAAAATGTATTACAAAAATTAGGTTCTGTGTACCAGTTCGAGACTCCTATTATTGGGGGGGGGGGGGCGGAAAAAAAAAAAAAGGGGGGGGCCAG